CACAGGACCACAAAACTCATCGAATGGAAGTTTGTCAGGACCTGTTGCACCAGTTTGAGGCTGAAGGTGACAAGTTTCTGGACAGCATCGTCACCGGAGATGAGACATGGTGTCACCACTACGAGCTGGAATCCAAAAGACAGTCCATGGAGTGGCAACATGTGGATTCCCCATGAACCACGAAAAAAGAAGACAGCCATTGGCAGGGAAAGTGATGTGCACGTTCTTTTGGGATAGGCGAGGTGTGATTTTGTTGGATTTCCTGGAGCCTGGTGAGACTGTCAATTCTCAACGCTACAAGACGACGCTGACTACGCTGAAAGCCAGCATTTCCCCAGTCAGGCCAGAGAAGCAGACAACCTTTCGTTGCAACATGCATCATAGACACCAGGAAAAAAAAAATTACAAACATGAGATTGAGGATAATGAAAGATACCTATATTATGATAATGTGAAACATAACCAAATGTACAACACTGTAAAAATAATTACTCAGATGGAGACGGGGGAGGGGTAAGGTTGAAATTTACACTGTACAAGGTGTGTTCCAAAAGTCATGAAATATATATATATTAAATTTATTGATGATATTGGTACAAAGTGTTAATATTCTTCAAAGTACTGTCCACGAGCATCTACACATTTTTTCCACCGACTCTGCCATGCCTGGTACGCCCCCTCAAAGGCCTCGATGGGAACCTCATTTAAAGCTGTTGTCACGGCCGCTTGGATAGCCTGAATGCTTTCAAAACGGCGTCCTTTGAAAGGAGTCTTGATCCTCGGGAACAAAAAGAAGTCGGCCGGAGCTAGGTCGGGGCTGTAGGGTGGCTGCCGCAGCGTTGCAACGTGGTGCTTCGCCAGGAACTTACGGACGAGCAGAGACATGTGGCTGGGCGCACTGTCATGATGCAGCCGCCAGTTAGCAGCAATGTCTTTTCACACGCGGATGACCCTTTTCCTTAATCTTTCTAGAACATCCATGTAGTAGGGAGCGTTGACGGTTTGTCCTTGGGGTAAAAACTCTTTGTGGACCACACCCTTGGCGTCGAAAAAGATGATGAGCATTGTTTTCACTTTGGATTTGCTCATCTTCGCCTTCTTCGGTTTTGGGGAAGCCGAGGTGTGCCATTCAGCACTCTGGTGCTTCGTTTCTGGGTCGTACTCAAATGTCCACGTTTCATCACCAGTAATTACACGGGCTAAATAATGAGGTTCAATTTCCACACGTTCCTTCAGTTCACTTGTGATCAACACTCGATTGGCCTTTTGCTCGTCCGTCAACAATTTGGGGACCAGCTTGGCGCACACCTTTCGCATGTTCAATTCGTCCATAACGATGCGATGCACAACGGTTTTTGGA